TTTAGTGCTTGTAGTGTTACATGAACCAACTTGTATGGCGGTTACTTTTGCTGAAAAAATATGTACTGTATGACATTCCTATATGGTAAGGTACTAAGGTTATCAGTGCATGCATCTACTTATACAGTTTGTTAACCGATGTTTTACATGCATTCTTATACATTGAAGATTTTTGGTCCCACACAAAAGATTATATCGAAATATTTCTTATGACGTTACATCTGTCATCATTATGAACCCTTTGGCCCCAAAATTTTGAATATTTATCAATGTTAAATCTGATTTCAAATAATTGCAAGTTGTGCCAAATATGTTTGACCAAATTTAATCAATTGTCAGCATACAATAAAAAAGTCTAATTCTAAATCAGGGTAAAATCACAATTAGGCATAACAAACAGGAGCAAAATCGCATGGGCATTCATGTCCTTTTGTACAAAGTTTAACACCGTTAGGGGTGGATGACGGAGCAGGGACAAACTGGTGCTTCATTTTGAAATCATAGAGATAAATTCACAAAGTCAAAAAAACAAGAGCAAAATCACAATTTCAATACAAAACAAGGATACAAACGTAAGAGCCCCTAACTTTTATTATATACCTAGATAGATATATTATACATAGCAAAGACTATGCACCAAGAAAGACTAACAATTTATAAATTGAAATGGATGGGCCCATCATCCATGTGTCAGTGTCTCATCTTGGAGATGGAAAATGTACTCTACTAGTATATCTCCTCTCCTACAATACAAATATTATGTTTTGGAATTCCATTAGCAGCAGCTCAAATACGCTTACTTTGCTGAAAAATTAATCACAGTGAAAATTAAGAAATGCGAACACCTAGTTCAGTAGAATCCATGATAAAAGATTTAATAGTGACAAAATTAATATGCACTTGTGGTACATCTGTTGTAATCTCTGTGTCTACAAAGAATGTATCATATAATGACAGTATAACATTCTGACAAAAAAACTGTTCTTCAAGAATAAAGAACTAATGAGTTGGGAGTTGGCTGGAAGACTATGGAGACATACATTGAACACGACAAATTACTATGAGGGCAGTGTCATTCTATAAACATTGCTGTGGCCGTTTTAGCGAGGACTGAGCTCCAAGCCATCACAGTTGTTGCAGTTGTACCGGTATCTTTGGGCCCAGATCCTAATAAGTACGGACTTCACAATTTACATACAAACAGGGAAAAAAAGCTTGTGGGATTTGACAGCCCAAGGCAAAGAATCAAGTTGGACTCAAACAGATGTATAACTGGTAAATAGCTTCAGTAGGTTGTCAAGTGCTTCAGGATTAAACTTCCTAGCGAAAAGATAGCACGGTCTCTTTGATCCATTCCACAAACAAGGCTTCTGCATCACAAGTTTCTGCAATATGGGGAAAAACAGCACACCAGCATTCAATGGTTGTTGAGATGCGTTGAAGCTGGAAATTTCATTGCTTCATGGATGCGAAATACAATTCACGAGTTTGCTTATAATCCATAATTAAGTTCATGAAATAGTTTGTTTATTGTTCTTCAAAAGTCAATAATGACGATAGATCTTTGTGCTTACCTTGTCATCACTTGTTACATGGAAGTTCTCATCAATTGCCTGCAAAATGGTAATGCACATCAGTGTATGCACATAAAAATCATATGGTAGGCGAGAACAAATTAAGCAGCTAGGAAACATACTGTGATATTCTTCAAGAGATCATAGGTGACATCATCATTTTCCTCAGACCAATATATGACCTTGGATTCCATTTTCCCATCAGACCAATCCACATTTGTAACAGACCAATTATATATTTGAGCACATATCTAAATTAAGTCATTGTGTATTCTACTAAGATAAGATACTTGGTATCCAGTTTTACTGTACCAACTCGATGTAATGATTGTGAATTAATAAAATCCTTCCTTTATCTAAGATAAATAAATATACCTTGCAGTATAGCTTGAACTTCTTGTAGTACAGGCTGTCAGCCAGAATCATTAAAGCATGTCTCCTCGTAACTGCAAAACCACTAGAACAAGAACAGACAAAGGACTTAAATTAGATTTCCACTCAGCTATCCATGTAAAGTGTTCATCGAATGATATACCACCAATAGAGTTTGATAACAGCAAGTATTTTATATCCTAACAAATTAGTATAGAGAATAACTGTACCTGGGCACCCTTTCTAAAATCCTCTTGTCTATTTCAGGATACATCTCAGGAGAGTACCTTCCACTGCCATGTGGACCTGGATCCTTGAAACTTATAAGTTGAAAACAAAGGCAGGACAAAAATCAAAGTGAGTGGATATGAACATCTCAAGAGAGAAAAAAAGTTCTCATATCCTATTTTTCAAAAGGATTTTGAAATATAAGTTTATAGTGTTCTCACCAATCCACGAAGCTAACATTCGTTCCCATCAGGTAGTTATACACATAATCAAATGAATGCAGCGGAACACAGCTGTGAAATAAAGCAAAGATGACTCAGTAATTGAGAACAAAGGATCAAAAAGGGAGTCACCGTAATCAGGGTCCAAACCTGTCAGAAAGCAAGACAAAAACTTGATTATCAACATCTTCCAGTGCATTCGCTAATAGTCTCTTCTCAGCATCAACCATTGAAATCAATCCCCATACTACCTGCATAACAAATACATACTCTGCTCAATGTTAACAATCTCAAAATTACAGCATAAGCAATATGATAGTCCATTAGCAGAGAAGAATTCCAACTAAAGATACCACTTTATAACGATCCATTCAATTTGCAAGTGGTGGAACAGTAAGTATTCTCAATCCAGATTGCTAGTAGCGATTTTGTTAGCACTGGACCTACTGTTGTAGGTTGTGGGTTTAAAACAGTAATATTCTCAACCCAGAATGCTATCTTTGTTCTTTATCAAGTCACTTTGGTGTGTTCAACTTCAACATGAGTTAAGTCCTATAGTCCTCATAAAGCATGTAACTACTGTTTGGCTTTTCACACAAAAACTACTGTACCTACTGTTTGGTTAATTGCTATTGCTGATTATTGCTACAATGGAGTAAAATCCTAGTTCAAAAGAAGTGTCTGATGGCACCCAAGGTCAACCACTTGTACATTCTTCATTCATTATTTGACCAGAGGGAGGGTATTTTCTTTTTTTTTCTTTTTTGTAAAAAAGGTTTGGAAATATAATGGATTGAGTTTACAAGATGAACCCCTGATAAAGCAGATATATTTAAGACAAAAGCGTTAAATCCAAATGTATGAAACACAGACGAAAATGCAATTATGATATGATGTGGTCCTTTCCAGATGTGTCGGGGTTCGCTGTGTGTAGGTGGCTGCGTTCTGGGGCCTCTGGCTAATGCCCGCCATGGGAAGTGGGAGCTGATGGTCACTCTTGCGACAAGCTTGGCAACGATGATGCATGGTGGGTTCCGTCGGTTGCCTGTTGCTGTTGTACACTTGTTTGTTGGTAGGTTGCTTAGGGTTACTTGTCCAGGCTACCATGTTCAGGTTTTTCGCCCAGTTTTCCTCAATAAACCACGTGTTTGTAAGGTTTTTGGGCCTAGTTTCCCCCATAAACTAGGTCAATTCTTTTCTACCAATTCGAGTTGCTTTGGAAAAAAATGAAACAGAGGCGAAAATTATTACTGCGTCACTGTGAATATCCCGACCAGCAAACAAAGAACTAGTATGAACCCGGCTTTTCACGTGATGCGTGCACATAGATGGAGTATCTTCCTCATGTCCCTGTTCAAAGAAGGCACAGTGATTCAATTTTCTTTAAAAGTCACATGAATCATATATGAGATGGGAAGTATTACATCACATAAACACAGAAGGTTTTTTTTTGAATCTAAACACGGAGGTTAGTACCAACAAGGAGGAGATTACAGTGAGTACTGGCTACTACTTGCTACAAATCTTACCGGCTTTGGTCCCTATATGGTGAAAACATAGGCTTAACATATTTATACAGATAAAACAACCTATTCACTAATGAAGGTTCATAGGCTTAATCTATTTATACAGGCTACTACTTGCTAGGAGCATTGTTACCTCTATCAAATGAAGGTTCATAGGGGAATCAACATGTTGGCCCAATGTTATATACTCATATTTCAATAATACATACTACAAACAAGTAAGTATATCCACTAAATTGTTTCTCTGGAACCAACCTTGGTGTCGTTATACATTTGAAAGACTTATGATTTCTTGCAGTTTAAGGAAACAGAAAGACCCTTGAAAAGCTTATACTCCTTAAGTGGCACAAAAACAACAAGTACATCTTAAGTGGCACAAAGACAACAAGTACATTTTGACCAACCTGTAAAAACTTCTCCCACAATTTCTCAAAGGGCAATGAACCTGGTGTCAAGAACATAAGGGCGATCTTTGGATTTTTTGACACAGGCATGGGCATTGAAAGGATATCCCTAATAACTACAGATGAAATAATCTCCTCGTCAGTCCGCTCCCGACGGCCCATGGAAGGGAGCCAATCCTTGAAATTCGTACATACACTTGAAGCAGAGAGGTAGCACTTAGAGAAGCGCCGCGGTGGGAAGACGTAAGCCCCAATCAACACGATGCAAACCATAGACAAGAGCACGATTATCCACATGGGCTTCTTGGCTGTAGCCCGGTGGCGTTGAGGCATCATGACAGTCATATCCTTGCTATCCCGCTGTACACTTTATGGTACTTTTATCTCATCTCCATCTTTAGATCATCTATAAAGCTCGTTCCTCACCATCAGACTGGGCAATTCAGCTGCTACACCAGGGCCTGAAGAACTTTCAGGCAATGATTTTTTCCCTGCAGTTGCAATCCAAGGGAAACAGTGTTAATACATGGATCCATCCAAATGATTCAAAAACACCCAAGAATGCTCCTATATATGCTTTTATAGTGACACATTCAAGTCAACTCACCAAGATTTGTCCCTACAATTCTACTACAACCGAGCAGTCCACCCCAGTAATTTGGTGGTTGTTCTAGTACATATTGTGATGCACTAACTAGTATGCGATTCAGTCACGATCTGTTCTGGGAATTGTGATGCAAGCTACTAACATTGAGCGAGCACCACTTTATCCAAAGCTTCCTAAGTTGGCCCAGCAATCCAGAAAATGTGCCGAGGTAGGTGATCTACAATGTCCAAAGCAGGCGATTTGCACAAAGAAGACAGCGGCCGAGTCCACGGCGGCGGCTGGCGAAAAGTCAAGCTCTGACCAAACCAAACCAAACAGCCCCATCCCATCCGCATTACCAGGTCGATCCGGTCAGCGCCACCCGCAGCAACCAACCCCTACGGCCCAAACCCAAGCTAAATCACAGCGCCAGCACCGGAAATTACTTCTTACTCCACGTAAAAATCGAAGCTTTACACCCAAAACAGCGCACTCCAAATCGCTCGGAAACCTCCAGCTTTCACGCAACCGAGCCCAATGCAGGGAGCAGCCACGCAGGGCATAGTTAGAAAGTAGAAACACAGCATGAATGGCACGAACCTGGTAAGGGATTTGGAGAGCGAGAGGAGAGGAGCGCTGCGAGGAGGGTTTCACCGCCTGGAGCTCGCTGTCTCCGCCCGCCGGGGGTCTGGAGGCTGCGGAGATCGATCGGATTTGGAGGGCGCAGGCAGGTGGAGCTGAGGCGACGAGGGAGGCGGTATAAAGAAAAGGATTAATTAAGCTAGATGTGTTTATGCTCAATGGGTTGGGTTAGAGGTGGAAGCTTGGCTGGTCTTGGCTATTGCTGCTTGCTTCTTGTGGTGGTTGATGATGGGTTTCCAATTGGAGGCAGGAGGAACGAAAAGAGAGAGGAGGGGAAGTGTTGGGGCTGAGAAATTTTGGATTAAAGTAGCGTTTGGGCGTGTGCTTTTGCGCCTGGGACCTCGTAAAACTTTATCTTTGTGAGCTCCGGTGGAATCAGAAATTTCTTTCCGAGCTCCGGTGGGATTAGAAATTGACAAATTGTGCTCCTCTTCTGATTCAGATTTTCTAGATTTGGGCGTTTGCCGAAGACGGATAACTGCATCATCATGGTATTGAATCTAGAATAATACTAGTATTTTTCACTGTCACGTTACATTTTCATAGGTCCACAAAAATTGTTTGTGTGGCGAAAATATCTGGACTTTGTGGACAGGTCATAATAAAAGGGGTCTTTTTTTCTCCATCCATATTCCAAGAAAGTTACTGTGACTGTGAGAGGTTACATAGACTACTTTTTCAAGGTTGATCCTGAAACTTGTCCATTCTTGTTTTCGTGAGTCGGAAACATGTTTTTACTCTCTTCCAGTCTCCAGAAGAAATGAAGAATGTCGCTCTCGAATTGTACCTGGAAACTTTCCTTGTAGAATCCGAAAGAGGAATACCTTTGCTTAAATACTCAACTTGCTGTACCTTTGGTAGAAAAGTACATGTGCTGGCTACAATACAAGCGATGAGTATGAAGATTGCAGGCACCGAAGAATATTCGCTCGACGCCAAAGAGAAGAACCTTTGACCACCCACGGAGGGAGTCAGGGAGCACGAGAGAATGGAGGGGAAAAACGTCTGGATCTACCTTGCAGCGACAATAACTTCTAACGGCCAAAAGAGAGAAACTGGATCTGCAGTGCATGGCATCCGGGCACTAACAGAAAACGAAAGCCGTCTGAGGCTGTTCCACTTGCGAGCATGCGTCCATTCGCGAAATTAAATGCGCTAGTGCAGGTATACTAGAGACAAAATTAAGTGGGCTGGCCTTTGGCCATGCATGCTTTCATTCTGCCTCCGGCTCTCCGCCCTCACAGCAGCTTCCGAGAGGATGCCATGCATCGGCAGGCTTCCAAAGACTGATGATGCAGCAGATATCCCCTTGTCTGGCATATGATTTGTGTACGATCTACCCCTGCTGGTCGGAATCATCATGTGAAACAACGATCTACCCCGAACTATCATCTGACACAATTAGGCTCCGTTCGGTTACATGGAACAATTCCCAGCGAATCAATTTCTTCACAAATTAAGTTCAAAAAAAAAATTCTTCATAAATTTGTATAACGCGGGACCGTTCCAGGCGTGTAACAGCCCGTTCCGGGGAAACGGAACGGAGCCTTATCCGGATAAGGTCAACACACTACAATGTCATCTCACATCTAAAGATACTAGATATATGCCCATGCGTTGCACGGGGTAACGAATTTATATTCATGTGTACAACGATGTACGTGTCTTATGGTTTAGACGAACATATTAACAAATTTTTATCCATGTCTGACGATGCACATGGCTTGCGATTTAGACAAACATATTAAGAAATGTACAAATTTGATTACATAAAGCATATTTTATGATCTTTATGACCAATATTGTGTGGATTTGGTTTTTAGAAACCTAATACGGTTGATTTTATTTTTTAATTATTATTTGTGTGTTTTATTATTTTGCATTTTCAGAAAATAATAAAAATCTAATAAATACTTTTGTATTTGGAACCCTTAACTATCTCTAAATTATCTAGGTTTTCTTTCTTCTATGTGGACGTGGTAGACTAATGGGCCACATTGTTACGTGCGGGCATGTAGCAAATCACCATGTAAGAGACTCGTCTGTTACGGGCGGCCAGGAGGTCCATCCGTTCGTCCCAGGGCACGTTGTTCCTTCGTTCCTGCTCTCGCAGGAGGGCGAGCGGGTTGCAGACGACGAACACACACGCACGAGGCGAGCGGGGCGCAGACGCATGGGCACATGTGCACGGGCATGCGCTGACGACCGAGAGGGCGAGTGTTTGCAGGTGCCCGTCGTCGGCTGGAGCTAGGGTGCACGCGGGCGAGGAAAGCAGAGCATACGGCCAACACGTCGTAGAGCGTGGCGAGCACCGCGGCCGCCACCAGCACATACTGGCATCGCATCGCCCGCATCCATGGCGAGACGCGCGCTACTGCGTATGCAGGACTACGCACGGCAGCAGGTCGCAGTTGCCCGCCGGCGTAGGCTAGAGGTAGGTCGCGCGCGGATAGATTTGATTGTTTTTTTTTTGCCGTATATATTTTTTTGGAAACGTTTTTTGGCGTATTTGTTTTTTTCGTAAACGGGGATGTGGAATATTTTGTTTCTGAAACGGTTTTTGGCGAAATAGCCATATTCATCCTTAAACTTTCATCAAAAGCTCAAATTCGTCCTTCAACTATCAAAATGGTCGGTTTAGTCCTCGAATTTGCAATTTCAGTCCGATTTCATCCTCTGTCTGACGCCGTCTTCGACACGGAAGCTCACTCCGTCAGCACAATTCTATTGGGAGACCAAAAAAAGGTGATTGAAGACCTCGCATCCATGAATCACAGCTTGACACGGTTGTATCTTCATTCAGCTGGACAATGTGATGATATGTACAGTTATCGACAAAGGTTGGGAAAAGAAATATGTAAGCTGATGCATGTTAGGGATGAAAACAGATCGGATCGAAGCTGATAATGGCTTCCCCATATCCTAATCCATTTTTTATCGAATTCGGAGCGGATCAGATATTATACGGATTCGGATGCGAATACGGATTTTTTAGATGTCGGAAATGATACGGATTTGGACCGGTGATGGAGCGGAAGCGGACTTTTTTAAGTCGGATAATATGTGCTTATGTGTTGTTTTTTATGATGAGAAACAATTCATTAACCAAAATCATAAAGCGGCAATACAACACGAAATAATCACCATCAATCCACCACTTCAATTTAAGAGCTCACAAAATTAATACAAGTTCTCAGTTTAAATTTAAGAGTATAAAACAAGTGTGTAAAAAATAAATATTCTTAATTTGGCAAAATTTTACCTTCACTCTTTGCCGTGTACTAGTCCTCCACTTTGGTAGATGATAATTCTCTGCCTCCTGTAATTTCAATGTACCAACATATAATTGACAAGCTTTGTTTGTGGACTTCAATATAATAATGCTTGTGTTATGGATCAGGCCGACTTGTATTCTTGCCGCTTGGGCTCCTTAAAATATTCCAATTATCCTATTATAAGCGTCGCACGTTCAATTATCGGTTAATCCATATCCGTCGGATTTCGCCAATTCCATATCCTACAACGCATCAGCATATAATCAGGTCGGATTATCCGTATCCGCGTGGATATTAAAAACACTTCTCCATATCTATAAAATTCGAATTCGGAGTGGATCAGAGTAGAGGATTATCTATACCACTTATGATTTTGCATTGTAAGTGGCTGTAGGCCTGTGGACAATCATGTAGTGATTTTTGAAATCTAATTATAGTACCGATTTTCTACGACTTGGTGCCTGATTTCACCGGTTCGGAAAGGTCTTTCTTTCTATTTTTGGGTGGATGCCCTCGCATTTTCTTCAGTCTAGGAGGCAATGGCTTTGGATTTGGAGATACAGGCCAGGCTTACTCATGCTCCACGGGTTGCAGCACATGCTGATATGTCCATAGACTTGCTAAAATCTACAAGTGTGTTGTCTCGTCTCAAAGTGTGTTAACGGAGTGAGCTACTGTGGCAGACGACGTCAGACAGAGGACGAGATCGAACCAAAATTGCAAATTCAAGGACTAAACCGGCCCTTTTGATAGTTGATGGACGAATTTGAGCTTTGGATGAAAGTTCAAGGACGAATATGGCTATTTCGCCATGGTTTTTTTTGCCATGCAAGAGACTCGCC